AATATATATATATATATATATATATATATTTATATGTATATTGTTCATATATTTAACAAAAGCATTGTACATTCCAGCGGATCAACTTTAGGATATGTCAACAGAATTTTTTCTTTCTCTTTACAGCATTATTATACATCGCATTACGCCAACTGGACAGATGAAATATGATTATTTCGTTTGTTCCTCACGGTTGATTTATTTCAGGTTGAGCAAAGGATATGACGACCATGATGCGTTCAAATTTCGCTATTTTGCGTAGCTTAGGTTCTAACTAACAATGATTTCACGATAATGTGATAGTTCATCCTACAAGAGCAAAAGAATAAAATTCTCGATGAACAATATAACAAAAAAATTATAGATATTTCATTGATAAACGTAAACTCTTGATTATATAATCCATATGCGGCCCAACAGATTGGGGCCTTAGGCTCGTCCCAATTTTTTGTTAGAGATAAGCGATATTGGCGTATATTTTATTAAGCGTATGTTCGAATCGCACCATAGCGCGTCTTTGGAAATCTCTTTAAAAATCGCGCTCTCGACGTGACAGAGCTTCATCGATACTCGCGAGGTCGTCGACGAGGCTCACACGAGGAGGCCGATCTCAGCCGCTGCTAGGGACACAAATCCGACTGATCCATCCAGGGATTCAAGGCTCGCAGAGTGAACCGCACAATCGTGTCTACTTCAGCCATTGCGCCCATGCCCACGTCACCACACATCAACGTCTTGGATACGCAGTGCACTTCTTTATAGCCCCAGGATTTGAGCAGCGATACCTGAAAAAAAAAAAAATAAAATGACTGTTTTCATTTAAAAAAGAAAAAGAAAACCACACATAAAAAGACAGAACAAATTTAATTATATTTATCGTTAATTGCTGTTTTCTACATCTGTTTACTAAAACTTTTTAAATACTTTCATTATTTTAACAAAATTTTTGGTTTTCAAGAAATTTCATACTTCAATCTTAAATTTAATTCAATTTACATATATATGCGATTATTATTGTTTCTTTTACATCAAAAATTAATGAAAAAGATCATGTATTTTATCTATTTAGCTATTTTAAAGAATATTCTTGACACTGTCTTTTCTTAGCTTGATTATTAATATGCTATTCTTTCCATCTTACTTGAGGCATTGTAACTGGGTGTTCCCACATCCTGGTGTTCATTGCTGGGCAGAAGAGGAGTGGCTTTGAAGGATCCCATGCGCGTGCCACGCAGGTAACAATATTGTCGCATATGCCACTGGCAATCTTGCCCAGAGTGTTAGCATCCAATGGCGCTATCACGAATACATCCGCCCATTTCACCAGATCTATGTGCAGCACCGGATCACCACGATCTTGCCAGGCAGCCCACTCTACTGTGTCGGATAAGACCTGGATATCGGATGGCAGCTGAGCATCCTTCAGGAAATGTTTGGCTCTCTCCGTCACAACTACTCTCACCTCCAGATTATTCTGTCGTAGCATTTCCACTAGCTGAGGCAACTTGATCGTAGCCACACTACCAGTGCAACCTACCAATACTCTTTTCCTGGAGGAGCTCGCCATTTTCTTTAACTTTGCGTTACCTTCTATTCTATATCAATCTGCACGAAGAATCTGATAGACTCTCAGGTTTCAACGTAATAAATATTGGAACTCTATTTATTTAAAGGATATTTATTCTCTTAGGCCACTTGGGTTGCAACACAATCCAACCACATAACAAGCTACAAGAATGCCTTTACGTTAAAGCTCAAGAAGACCGATCCAATGAGTATCGGGTGATGTAACCGAACTTTTAATTTTCTTTCTTATGAAAATAAAAGATAGATACACGGGTTTTTAATATCGTTCAGTTCTCTCTCTCCCTCTCTCTCTCTCTCTCTTGGTCTTTTTTAAATCTATTGTCCTTATTGTTACTTTTTCTCAACTCTGAGAGGAAGTCCTTGTTACACCAGGCTGGCAGTGCGTATAATCGCTTGAACACACTGAATCACTGAATTATCGTAATGGCATCTTATTTACATCGACAGTTCCAAGAGCACCGATTAAACAAAGTGTACCAGGCACTCTCGAAGAGACTCAAGACGACAACAATGATAACGACGACGATAAAGATATGACGACCCCTCCTTTCTTAGGGTATCTGCTATCTCGTGAACGATATCGACGTTACGTTTCCTTGGCACCCTTGATCTCATCGGTGAAGCCGAGCTTGGACCAATCCTCGCGCGTCATCAGATTATGGTCCATGCGGCAGCCGAGGTACTCCTTGGCGATGTCGCGACACATCGTGTTCTGATTGCGATTTTCGGACAGGCAGCGCATATACCTGATCATGGTGTTCTTGCAATGGCCCTCATGGTCCAGTGGGAAGCTGCCGCGCTCCGGTGGCGTTGGCGTGAACAGCTTCTGCGAAAACGTGTACGAGGACATACTACGCCACTTCACGGACGCGCTAAAATCATACGAGAATGCGCGAACACCTCGTACGACGAACAGTTGGAACGAGTAAGGTCTTTTCAGCCTCCACGGCGGTTCGCCATCTTGGCTGACCGTGATCCAGATCCACAACGATCCACACTTCTCCGTTGCTCCTCCCACGCCACCCCACGCCAAACCAAATTCATCGACAAACGCCCCTGTCGCCCTGTCGCCCTTAGAGAACGAGAAGATTTTCAGCGCCACCTGTCTCTTCTGGCATTTGAGGTGGCGAACTAAATAACGCGACACACGTGACTAGAAATATAGAATTTGCGGTAACTTTGAATCTTTTATCTATTTCTGTAGGCAACATGATTTACCTTTTACAAAAAATGATATAATAGTAACGTGTTATTTTTATAAATTTATGTTGCCAACTTTATTAGTGACTATAATTATGGTGGAATCAGATTCTGATTTTAGATATAACATTATTTTGCATAAAATTTGCTAGATTGCTGGGTTTTGTTATATCTCTATTTTTTTTATCCCATACAGCACAGAAGATTAAAGCAATATTGCTGCAATGTTGAAGATTGCAATGTAACTGTAGAGATATTACAGAAATGTAAATTAACAATATGCAAGCATGATGTATCAGTAATATGCCTGTAATATTCCAGAAACATTACAAAACTGTAATTCTTTAATTGTTACTATAATAATGATATAAAAATATAATTTTCTATAATATTTATGAAGTACAATCTTTTAGTTTAACAGTCATTTTTATGATATAATAATTAATATAATCCATTTTTATATTTTAAATAAAAAATTTATTAATCTATTATTTGATGGTATGTACATATATATACACACACAGCTCTGAAGTGGAAAGTTACGCGATATGAAATATCTTTTTAGGAAAATTTTGCTGCGACTTTTATATGTGAGCATTCTCAGAAGAATGCTATTTAGATATAAATGAATAATGCATTTGATATGCAATCAACGTTGTAAAACATTTACAAATATTTATATATGTAATAAATCAAGTGATAAAACACTCACATATATTTCTTTTTTATTATTACATATTATTTCATTGAAAGAAAAAAAAACAGATAAGAGAAATAAATAATAAGAAAAAACTAATTTTATTAAGCATTGGAAAATTTTCATATTTAACCTTTTTCATTTATAATAAGGATCAGAAATCGCTACATTACATGAATCTCTAAAAAAACGACACTAACTGCGTCACCTGATAATATGAATATATAGAAATGTAACATTTCGAATACAAATCTGTTTTTAGCTAAACTAGTGTGCACTCTTTGTACTAAAAATGAATTAGTTTCATATTTAGCAAAAGAGAGAAGAACAATCTTAATGCAACAATAAAAAACAAATCTCACAAAATCATAAAACTAAAAAAATGTTAAACAATTGAAATTCTTTATTATAATTCTCCCCGATAATTATATTGATGTAAAAAAATTCCTAAGCTTGTTTATTTTCTATTTTTCTGATTTGTTCCAATCCTATTATACCATCTCAACATATTTGTCAAATTCTACAATCAACTAGAAAAATCTTTATACACGTAAGGATGAGAGTTCAAGATTCGTTTTTTTTTAAAACGATTAATTTTTATGAAGAACTCGGTAGATGTGCCTACTAATTGAAATACTAATTAATAATGATAAATATGTATTGATTATATATCTCCATAAAATATTTAATATAATAATAAAAATTTAATTCAAGCAATTAAAACATATTGCATCTTAAAATTTATATTTATATTAATAATGTAAAAAGAATACCGGATACAGATAAAGGATCTATAGATTTCTAGTCATATTTTTCGTGAATTTTGTTTATTCTTATCTACAAAGCATTATCTCGAATGCATCATATGTTACAACAATATAATCGACTTAGAAAATATATTTTAACCCTAAGATAACGGAAGGCAAGATAACAGCAGGCCACGATATTTTCGTAAATTAGCTTCAAATATGTTCAAGATTTATAATGTATTTCAATCTTTTTCTTCCCTTTTTTTTATCTATTAGACGAAGACTATAATAAAGACTCTCTGACTGGAGAGTATTATGATAATATCATATTCGAAGAGAGATGTGCGTGAATTAATTATCGGAGAACTTCACGTCCAATGTTCCGCTTTTTACCGGCGTGCACTACAGGAACTGTTTTTTAAAGCGCGGATACGCGGAAAATAAATATTAAATAAAGAGATAATTAGTTAATTTGAGTATCTATTATATACAAAAAATGACATATTCGCCACAAATATTATAAAATTAGATTAAAGCTGGAAAACGAATGTATGTTCCCTTCAAATATTGTATATATAAAGTAACAATAAATTATTATCTTTATTTCAATATCGATATATAGTTCCATTCTTTCAAATTCCACAATTAAATTAAATAAAAAATATCTAATGTAATTCAGTTAATAAAAAATCTATTATAAATTATTTTTAATTTATAAATTAAATTTTTGTAATATTAATATTATGTGGCGATAAATTACGCTAAAAATAAGTTAATAAATCTACAGTAGTCAACTAGAAGAAAATTATCTAAGGAGATAATTATACGTTGCCGAAACTTTTTTATAGAGGAAGACTTGATAAAATCGCAATTTGGAGGGAACATAAATCTTTATGTTTTTTGGATATGCCCGTTTTACGCGGGAAGACTTATGCTCGGATTTAAGATCCAATTGAAAAATCTGGCAATACAAAAATATACTCTGTAAAATCTAACAGATCTTTTTATAGCTACGGGACATTTGGCAAGCAAACAAAACAAGGCTATGGACGTAATATTAAAATGTTTCGGCGTCGTCACAGTCACGCGTGTCGTGTCCGAACATTTCGCAGGTTTCACAATATGGCCTTTCCACAGATTGCTTCTTCGGAGTTTTTACCGTTCTCTCGGCGTTCTCCATGAAATCCTGGGCTTGTCGAGGACAGTCTTCCGTTTCGTGCAGATCGAACTGATCGCAAATATCACAGAACATACGGGGCGCCGCCGTTCGTTTGTCCAGCGTGCTTCGAGTATAGTCCTCGGCCTCGTTTGCGGGAACCCCCATCGCAAGAACCTCGATCTTACACAGCAAACTCTCGTTCTTACGTTGCATGTCGACTATTATGGAATTTAGGAAATCTATTTGACTCTTTGCGGTGTCGTTCTCCTCTTGCAGTTTTGTAATGTCGATATCTCTCGCGATGTGCTGCTTCGTGTCGCCCGTTCCGTCATACGTGTTCTTCAGATTTTCATGCGACAATTTCAACTGATTCGTTGCCTCGATCCATTTCACAGTGACTTGCTTGTTCTCTTTCTCTAGCCGATTTAGCTCATCCAGAAGTCGCTTCTCTTCCACCTTGGCTATATTCAACTTCTCCTGCAAGTTTTGCACGTTTTTATTCACCTCTTTTTCATTGTTCTCCATAATTTTCGCCAGATCGGCTGATTTCGTTTCCTGTTCTTTTAACTGCTTCTCGAGTGTATTCACCGTGTGCTGCAACTCATAGATTCGCTTGTTCGCGCCACTCAACTCATTCTGCTTCAACTTTATCTCCTCGTTCCGTGTCTGTTGTTCCGCCTTGACTCTTTCCACTTGCGCGTCTTCCAAAATTTTTACTTGCGCCTTTAATTTACCGATAATAGATTCTTTATCATCTAAATTGGTTTCGTGCTTATCGACAGTGTCTTGCATCAATCGCAACTTGTCCTCCAACTCTTTATTTTGTTTATTTACGTCTTCAATCTCCTTCTGCTTAGTTACAACTTCGGACTCTAACGAGTTCCGCAGTTTCAGTATTTCTTCCTCCTTGGAAGATTCTGATTCTTTTATCTTAACTTCTGCTTCTGTTCGCAGCTTCTCTTTTTTATCTAACTCTTCGTGCAAATTCGATAACTGAGTCTCCAGTGACTTCACTGAGTTCTCCAAAACAGTCTTGATTTCGGACAATTCATTTATTTTACTTTGTTTCTGTGTAATTGCCTCTTGTGCGTTCTTCAATTCATTGTTATTACGAGTATGTTCTTCTTTCATGGAAGAGATTGTAGTGTTCAATTCGACTATTTGAACCTGAGATTTTTCCGTCTCCGCTCTCGTCTTTGATATTTCATCAATTTTATCTTTAATCGTTCCTTCAGCGTCCTTCAATTTGCTCTTCAACTCTTCTACCGTACTTGTCATTGTATTTAAAGATGTTGTTAAATTTTTATCGATAGTTGCTTTATCATTAACTAAGGCATCGTGCATTTTCTGCAATTCCGACAATTTATTTTCCACTTCCTGATGTTTCGAATCTTTCTCCTGAAGTAAATTTTCTAATTTTGAAGTTTCATCTGACTTGGATTTCAATTTATCTGACAATTCCTCGATTGACCAACGATTCGCGCTTTGATCAGCCTCTAGTTTGCTTTTACATTTTTGCAAATCTTTAATGTCATCACGCGAAGTCGACAATTCGGTTGACAAATCCGTAATTTTTTTCTGTAACAAGGATGTCTCTTCTTGGTAAGAATTTCGCAGAGTTTCGGATTCTCCACGAAGATTGACGATTTCTTCATCCTTCTTTGTCAATTGCTCCGTAAGGTTGGTGATTTGGTCAGACTTTTCCTTCAAATTTATTTTTGTGTGTTCACCTTCTTCTACCTTGAACGATAATTCATTCATTTCTTGTTCATATCCGCGTATTTTCTCGACATAATCTGCATTTGATTTTTCAGCTTTATCTATCTGTAACTCCAACTTTGATTTCTCTGAGCATATTTGCTCAACCAACGTCATATTTTTATTTAACTCTGTCTCGGTATTAGAGAGTTTTCCCTCTGTTTGTTTTAGTGCAGTTTCCGTTTGAAATATCTTCTCTCGAGCTTGGTCTAATTCCTTTTCTTTTCTTCGCAAATCCTCATTGTATCTCGACAGCTGTTCTGATGAATCGGCGGAAGTGCTAATCGCGTTCGCTATATCGGATTCCTATAATTAAATTTAGATCATTAATCCAATGGATTAGTAATTTATTATTCATGAGAAGATTAGTAACTAATTATTCTATACTAACCAGTTTTTCCTTCTGTAACGAGAGTTGCGATATTTTTTCTTCCGCTCTCGCGACTTGTCCATTTAATTTCTGCATTTTTGACTCAAATACGCGAAGTTCGCTCTCCAAATTCGTTTTTGTTTGCTCAGATAACGTGAGGGCGTCTTGTAATTCTAAAAGATTTCAAACAATCCATGTTATGTTTATATTCACACAATCGTAATTAATTTTACAAATTTAAATTGAGAACTAAGTAAATTTCAAGTCTATACCTGTAGTCTTTTCGAGAAGATGTTTAATTTCTTCATCTTTGCTCGCTATAATTGCTTTCAAATCGGCGATATCTTTCTCCAATTTAACGAGCATCATGGCTTTTTGCGAAACATCTGCATTTATCTCATCAATATATTTGACTTTGTCATTAATTTGAGCCTCAAACCGTTTAGTTATCTCTTCTATTTGAGCCACAGTAGCATTTCGCAATTCCGCGATTTCTTTGTCTTTTACTTTCAATTCTTCGTTCAATTTATTTAATCGTACGGCGGATTCCTCCTCCGAAGCGATTAAACTAGCTAGATCTTGCTCCTGGATTGATCACATATCATGAAAATACCATTGCGAATGTCACATTCGTGCGAAATAAAAAAAAAAGAATACTCTTACCAATTTTTGCTTCTCATGAATAATCCTGACATTGTCGTCACTCTTAGACCTATAGTCTTGAATTTGTTTTGACAACACGCTATTGTTGTCTTCAGCCAATTTAAGCCTCGTATTTAGCTCTGCAAAATATTTGTGATAAAATCAATGAAATCTCAAGTCGTAATTTATTTTTCATTGTTACATACTTTATCATTATATATTTTTATGAAAATACAAAATAATTTGCATAATGAATTAGATGCTAGATTATCACAAATATTTCATCGAAAGTTATTTTCGTAGAATGTCAATCGATACTCGTAAATTCTACACAAGCAAAACAACCGAAAGATTAAATTTTTAATTATTCAAATTTTCTTAAAATCCAAATTTTTTTTATTTTTATTTCTATGGCACAAACCTTCTAATTTTTGTAGAGCACTAATCAGTTCTTCATCCTTCTTCCTGCAGAGCTCTCGCTCAGCGGCCAATTCGGCCAATAATCTTTCAGTCTCGGATACTTTTTGACCAAGTTGCTGCGAGACTTCCTCGATTTTTGTGTCCTTCACTCGCAATTGTTGCTCAAAAGATTCCGAAAGTTCACGGATACGATTAACATTCTCAGCCTTCAAGCCTTCCAGAGCTGCATTCTGCTGCTCTAACAGCTTCTTAGACTTGTTTTCCAGCTCCTCAGTTTTTATTTTGATCAATTGATCTTTCTGTTCGATAGTCTGTCGATATTCCGACAGCAGTGAATCCTTTTCGCTTGCGTTTTCTTTCTTCATCGTTTCAATTATCTCTTTCGATTTTCGCAACTCCTCGCTTAATATATTCGTGTTTCTCTCAAATTCCTGTTTCAGATTCTCCATCATTGTTTCTTTGTCTTGCAAGTTTTGTTTGACAGCTCCTAGTTCTTTCTCTAGACGATTCTCAGATTCTTTGTGGATCGCACTGTCCTGATGCGTCTTGCTCACTACGAGCTCCAATTCCTTGATACGTTCCACACATTCGCTCACCAGACCCGATTTCTCTTGTACTTCCTTTTCCAGACTATTTTTTATTTCCTCCAAGCTCTGATTACGACTTTTCAAATCTAAAAGCCCATTTTAGGATAAAGGAGAGGAAAAATCGCGTAAGATTTTAAATTTAAAAAATTTAATAGCATTTTTCATTGGCAGAACTGGTACACATTAAAACCATTGTACACTATTCTAATCTGAATGTAAAAGTGATATATCTCAATTGATAAAATGCCCAATGAATATTTTGTTCAACAATACAATAAAATGTATTGAAAATTTCGCGGTTTTTTTTTTAATTCGTTCCTACATGTTTATTAAACATACATCTTTACATCAATTTACAATTTTTATTTCAAATACCTTGAAGCTGAGAGTTTTGCGAGTTTGTCGCGCAACTGATCTCGTTACGTAGTCGCGCCAATTCCTCTTCGACCTCGAAAAGTTTGGTACTGTCACGTTCCATCTGAACGATGCGTTCCCGCCGCTCCGACGCGAGTTCATCCTCGAGCTCTTTGATCCTGCTTTCATTTACAGTATTTATGACCTAGTGTGATAAGGGCAACTTTTTAGTCTCTAAGGAGATACGAGGTCATACAACGAATCCGTTTCGGGTATTAACATACAATTATTTTCTCAATTACGAAGAATATAAAGATACAACAATTGATATTTTCCATTTTTTTAATTTTAAGAAAGAATCGTATTTTCTTCTACTTAAAGAATTCATAAATTAATCAAAATTATTGTCTACTATCTTGGAAAAAAAAATTAAATTCGTTGTATAATTTTCTACTATTGAAATAAAGGACATTTGACACAAACATGTGTCAAATAAAACCAGATGTGATTTAACTATTAAATTTTACATTCGTATTATGTAAGTTTGTTTAAACATAAAATAATGAGAAGAAAAAGAGACATTGTTTAAACTTCCAGTAATTATAGAAATACTAAAGCCTATTAATACCCGAAAGCGTACATGTTAAAAAATAAAAAGCACAACTGATATGCAAAGCACAGTCTGTCGAAATGAGAATAAAATAAATATTTTCGCGTGGAGAAAAAGAAGAAAGAAATAAATCAACAACTTTACGCGTATATGTATCCAATTCATAAGAAACATATTATTCAATTTTGGCATTCGTGCATACAAACATATATCACAATCAAAGAAATATTTAAATAATATAAATAACTTCAAAATACGAAAAAAGCAATTAAATTAATGCAAAGCATAGAATGATTACATAAATAAATAAATAAATAAATAAATAAATAATTAAACATAATAACAAATAACAAGTACATCACGCCTATATTTTTTTATATCTTTGTGCATATAAAGCGTGTAAATAATTTGTGAAGCTCACATTACTCCATTACACAAAGCAAAGCGTGATCAAGTTAACCATCTTCAATCCATATTTCTATTAAAATTAAATCGCGAAGAACGAAATTACTTAATAACAATTTGTACAATTTCAAATTCAAAAGTGCTCGACGCGGAATTATCACGCGTGATTCCATATTTCAAGTTAGCGCGCAATTAATAAGCAAGGGATGATTAACGATATCTAGGACGTTGTTACAGTGTATAATTTAGTTTTGTTAGTATGACCGGCGCCAAATTAGACAGCGATAGCGTTTCTTAGCGTTTCTTATTATTGCGCGTTCCACGTCAGTTGGATCTCTGATAGAACTGCGACGAAATGTAAAATGACATGGCTAGAGTGATGATTAGGCAAGCGGTGCCCAAATACTGCGTCAATCCTTCCACGGGTCCGAAACATTGGATACTCACTCTTTGCTCAGATCTCTCTTTCTGAAAATAAATGATAAGTTCACCGAATTAACAGAAAAACTGAATGCATTCTCTTCTTTTGTTTTTTTTATAAAAAAATACCACATCTTTCTTTTTTCTTTCCTTAAAAATTGTTTAAGTATAAAAATCAACAGAATTTTTAATCAGATTAATTTTTCTAGTTAAAATTTCTATTTTCGTAGAACATAATTTTGATATCGGCATCGATAAACCGTAATTCATATTATCAGTTTTGAAATAAAATTTGGAACGGGATATTTTTGCATAGAATATTCCGATGCTAAAAGTTGTTAGACTAATTTTCGAGCTTTTTAGCAAGTCGATGTAGCTAAGCACGTGTTGTAATGTACGTTACCCGCCACCATTATTCCGCGTGCGTACCGAATTGCGCATTTACGACGCGAAAGCGTGTATAATATTTTGAGTAATTACAAAAAATACCATCCAAAGTTTCCAAGTATGACAAAAGAGATATTTATTATGATTATTATTATTATTATTATTATTATATAGAACGGAAGTACATATTTGAACAAAGGATAACATAACAAAAATTTAAACATTATCTAAAATATCGCACGAAATTCATTTTCACATCTTGAATCTATAAATCTAAAATGAAAAAAAATTTGATTGCAATATTAGACATTTTCTGAGATATAATATATATATATATATATATACACACACACACACACACACATATATCTTATATAATGTTATTAATATCAAAATATATAAAACGTGAACAAAATAATAACATGAATGAATATACTTACTCGGGATTCCAAATATATATTTTTTCTTTTTTTGTTTTTTTTTTTTTAATGAAGAACTTAATACCGCAGCATAGACTTTTGTATAACGCATAACGTATAGTGAATTAACTAATCAGAATCTTTCCTTTCCTCCCATTCCATGAAAAAGAAGAATTTCGATTGGTTTATTCCCTTATGCACTATGCATTATGCGTTATGCAAGAGTCTGTGCTGCAGTCGTTAGCATTTATTATGTCCGAGATAAATTGTTACTTATATTCTTGAACCGGTAACTATAAATTATCCTAATAAATTATCCTAAAGTGTATGTACCTGTATGTCGTCTTTATTCACGGATTCCTCTTCGAAGCGAAACAGAAGATCCTCGCACTTCCGTTTCTCATCTTCCAGCTGCATCGCCAACGTACTCTTCTCGTTGATGAGCTTGGTGACAGTGAGTTCTGTTTCGCTGACCGTCTGCAGCATCTGTTCGCGATACTGAATATTGTCAATAAAAATGTCAAAGAAAAAAAAAGATGGAAGATGGGGACAAAGGAGTTTTAAAACTGGGACAAAAATTTCAGGACGTAAAGACATTGGGTTTGACTTATCACATCTAATAAGATATTTCCATTGACGTTACATAATCCCTGCAAACAGGAATAAAAGCGCAAAAACTGAAGCATAGCTCTCAACTTTAAACACCTGTCCCTCTCTGAAAATCCATCCATCGCCACTATTCGGTTTTGACAATCGTTTTGTAAATATCGTATAAAATATCGTTTTGTAAATATCTACCTTATCATATTCTTGCTTAATCGAAAGCGCCGATTGTTCCGCTTGGTCAGCTTGATTCGCCGCCTTGGTGACTCTTTCGCGTTCCAAGTCCCGCTCTTTTCGCAGGAACTCGATCTCCTGCTGCTTCTCTTTCAAAACTTCCTAAAAGTATGATCCGAATTCTAATTCAATGTCGCGATGATGCGGGAAATTTTAGGAAAGAGGAATTATATAATATTAGCGCGCAATAAAGTAAAATAGCAATCAAATTCATGTTTAATAATATTATTATGATTGCAGTAAAATAGCCTATACACATTACATCCACGACAAAGTTATTGTAAAAAGAAAACGCACAACTAAAACAATTTATTTTTCTATTTCTTACATTTTTGTAAAAGCTATCGAGCAGGTTGGAACAAAGCGAGATGCTTTTATGTCTGCGTCATACAAATTATTACAAACTAGCCAACTTGCGATATCAAGCAATTAATTAATTCTTATATATCGATATATCTTTATAAAAATGTTTATAGAAGCCCTGGGATGGGATAGAATGGAGATAAATATTATTTGCATTCCGCATTATGTGACAGCTTTGCCAAGATCACGTAATCATCAAGTTTATAATTCGACGCGAGATATGCAATGTTCTGAATCGAATGCAATTAGCAATAAAATCGATGATCGGTACTTTAGATCGCATTATCCGAGCGAAAGGGTTTAATTAATCGGCTCGATGATACTGGTCGTCGTTTCTCTGCCAACGCAGATATCGATCTGTGTCAATTATGCCGTGGGAAATCCTTAAAGATAAATTAATCGAGCAATTGAGATAATCTCGTGCGAGGAAGAATCGAACATAATAACGGCGATTTGTTAATTATTTGCATATGTAGATAAAGCGACGTAGGAGAGATACTCACCTAGAAGCCAGAGGAAGGAACATTACGAGGAAGGGACATTACGTGGGATTTTATTAACATTATATACAAAGATCGCTATATATTATAAGTACCAACGATGCGACGAGCGATAACAATAAATAAACGGCAAATAATAAATAAATAAAATCGCAGTCGGTAACCATTAATAATCGAGTCTTGCTAATCAACTAAACGTCTCGCTAATTATCTTAATTAATGTACATTCACATCATAACGCGCTTGTAATCTATGTTATCTCTACACATCTATTTCTACAGGATGTACGAACTAATTGGAAACAGTCGATGGGAGAATAGCGAGGTGACTTATCGACGATCGCTTCTAATTGACGAGAACAATTAATTAATCAGGAGTAATCAGAGTTATGATCTCACCTGCAATGAACTTCGTGCAGGTGTTGACGTGCGCATGCCAGGCCTCTGGAATATTGGGATGTAACGGAAACACAAAAGAAAAAAAAAAAAGATAAATCGTGCAATCTTGCAATTTTAAATAATAATCAATGCACCAGTCACAAAATCACGCGCGCTAACAATAAATTACAAGTTTTGATTAAAGACTCAGTGTTAAAGAGAAAAAAATAGGTTGCCTAAAAAGCGGCAGGCAATCACTACAATTTAGGGCGGGATTAACCCTTAAGTAATTCCATAGAAGGATTCATTGCAATAAGAGAATCCATCATAATTCACAAGGGAAATATTTAGATATGTTGAATTAAATAAAGGAATGAGTTAAATCTTCAATTTTTAAAAACAAAAATTTAGAATTCAACGATTTAAGAGTTTAAAGCGTTCCAAAAGCGAGATAAAAATTGTAAGACAAGATAGATCTACATAAGATTCACTTTATATATGCAACTCTAACTTCCTATAATCACGATAAATAAAATCACTTTCACATTGAGTGCTTCTCATAATTAAAATAAAATAAAATAATAACACTTCTCATAATTTTTGCGCACATTGTAATTTTTCGCAAACGCAATCATTTGCAGTTCCTTTAATGCGATTAAAAAAACCTTCATCGCGCCGAATCCTTCATATGAAAATAATCATTTACCACTGATTTACAGTAAAGAATCACAGTCGTAGTCGAGCTTCTCGCTCGTACCTCAAAGAAGAAGACTTAAGGGTCAATTGCCCAGCACCAACGAGAACGACAAGAATAATACATTCTACGGCTAAACTAATAAATAGGGAGCCAACAACGTTAGCGGCGAGCTGCGAGATATAGCTGCACATCCTGTCATCCCCTCATTCCGGCATGGTGAACCTTACCCTCGCCGTGGTTCCGCTCGTAGTGCTCATTCTCGCGCTGGCGACGCTCGAGGCGAGGCTGGAAGCGAGCGATTCGCGGGAGCCGCTCTTCTTCTGGAGGCTGGCATTGAGGGCGGCACCGCTCGGCTTGTGCACCACGCATAGGGAAGGCTTCTTGTTGTATGGCGACCTGCTGACCTTGTGTACGGGCGCAAACAGGCCGTACTTGGGCGAGCACTCGAAGTATCTGGATCAACGGGTGGGTTAGTTCCGCGGGATCTTAGGAATGTGAGTCTCAAGTGTAAGGGGAGATCATGCCTCGCAAATTTTCGTGGATGTGATGTCATTCATCAAGCATTAGTCGTGAGAACGTTAACAAATTAAAGAAGAAAACTCTAAAGTTCCCGATATCATTGAGCGTCATATCAGAAATAAAAATTCTCCTCTTTCTTGTGGAAAAATAAAAAATTAAAAACGTCTATAGCAGTATTTTGAGACCCTAATGTCGGACGATATAAATTGATGAATGGCATTTAGGCCCGTTTTTATAATACATGATTATCTAAAAGTTAAAGATATAAAGAAATTTATCAATAAAATTCATTCATAAATTTCTTAGTAATCTTAATCCTAACCATACATTAAGTAACTATATATTATAAAAATGGACCTTAATCGTACATTTCAAGGACCTCCTGGATTTTACATCATTCCGGCAGGGATTTAAATTCATTAATAATGCAGTAATAAAACGCAGTATAAACTCTGAGAAATGAGAAAAGGAATTTTTTAAGTCATACTTAAATGTAATACGCTCTTAATATAAACAACATTTTGATTTTCTGGAAGTGGTTGAGAGCTTTAGGATTGCTTTAGATAATCGGAAATCTGAGGCGAGTTTGATATTCTTTTTTTTTTCTCGTGTCAAGGTGCTATCGAGGTTCAATGGAAAGGATGCACACCTTTTGTCATTGACGGAACCGTCATTTTTGCCAATCGGCTCGTCCAGTTCCACGCCGCACCATTCACCCGCAGCGAATTCCGCGAGGCCATGATATCTGAGTATGCCGGTTTTGCTGCCTTGGCTCGACGACACTATCACCCGGTCACCTATCCTTAGCTCGCCCTTTTGCGTTGTAGACGACAGACTTGTCGTCGATGTATCTGCATTCACAGTTTTCAGCGATGCACGATCATTATTACATATCATTCAGACCGGTTAAGAAACCACGAGTGAGGCTGGGTCTATTCTATTAAAATTACACAATATCTCTTTTCTACTTGACGACAAAACTAGATCGTTTCTAAGTTTTTATATATATGAGGGTCAAATTATACTTTTCTTTCTCCTTTGTTAAGTTCTATTAAAGCCAAATCTACATTTATATTTTTATAAATATAATATATTCCTCCCTATATTCATATTTTTTATTACATTTTTTTTCTTTCAATTTTTTTATATATCTATTGTTCTTCTTTTAATGATTTTTCACAAAATAAAATATTTCCTTTTATTATATATATAAAAAAAAATTAGTTGCTTCTCTATTTTATAAAGTGACGAGAATAAACCATTTTCTACGAATCAATTTGTTTATTCAATTGATAAATTTATTACTCTCGAGCTTAGGTATGTAACTCCTTTACTGCCGCTAAAAATATTAAACTGCTCCGTCACTTTTATAAATACGAACATCTGCAGATAACGTTTGTTCGATGTATTTTCTACTTTTCTAAGCGCATTATTTATGAAATTAAATTATTTTACACGAAAATTAAGTAAAAAAATCTTAAATTACGTCACATGTCACTACATACTAACGAGACTAAATTATTTCCGTGCTACATGCTGACCGAATAACTAAATTACATCAAGTCGTTACTTGATCGTGCTTATTTTCCACAGTAAAGAGCGTTCAAGCATTATCGCAATTAAAATAATGCCGTAATTAAAATAATGCAAAATAATTAAAAAAATAATTTGTGCTCTTTAAGCCTCTAGGTACAACATAGCATCAACTACGATTAACTCTTTCGCTTCGCTTTTTTTGTCGTTTAATTTAAATGATAATTTCGTTATATGATGTATTAGTTCTATGTAATAGATATGACTATTTTTTAGATAAAATATTTCTTATCTCAATTATCATCCGAATAGAAATTCTCAGCAAAAGTTTTTAAATGATAGCACTGAATTGATGTAAATCCAGTGATATAATCTGCTTAAAAAAATAAATATCCTCTTTTAAAAAAAGGATTCAATATTTGCTATAGAATAAAATTATTTCATTCGATATTTTGGATCAAATATTCTTTTCTTACAGCGAGGGAAGCGAAAGGGTTAAAGGGCCAAGAAATTAAGTAAAATCTGTAGACGGCGTTTGGCGTGCGTTTCGAATGTGCAGCGCTAATTAGAAGTCTACGAGCGTGGCGAGTATCTCTTGCAGCGATCCTTACTCAATGACGACGACATGGATTTGCTGATGAAGCCACTCCTAGAGCTGTCGGGTGGCGTTGTTGGCGTCATGATCAAGCTCGTCTGATGATCGCTCAACGGCAACCTGGTGAGTCTGGTGAGTCTCGAAAAGATCCCTCTCTTCGGTTCGCACTGGAAGTACCGGCTACCCGCCACTGAACCGTCGTTCTTTCCTGAAGTTTAAGGTTCGGGAACTTATACTTCATCTTCATTCTGTCTCTGAATTCCACCGATTTATCTCTCTTGTCATTGTTGCTCAAAAAATTTTTTTTCATTCGCGATTAATGGAACTTTGTATTGTATATAATAAGACTTCAGTTAGGTACAGTATGATCTGGATAATTTTGATTGATTAGGAAAATGATTTACAAATACGATGTTTTAAATTTGAGAATCGGTTCGCGTTCTTCAAAATTGATTCTTGGATCTTTATAATTCATACGATTGGCTAAGATCGTTACGATGTTCCTCACCGATGGGCTCGTCCAGGACGACTCCTGCCCAGTCTCCGGGGGCAAATTTGGTCTCGCCGATATAAGCAATTGTGCCTGGCTTCGTGCCGCCAACCCATACTCGGTCACCAATCTTAAAGCTGTCTGTATCTTCGGTTAGAACAACGCTGGTATCTACGCGGGATTAAAGAGAATTCTCTTTGAAATATCGACTATTGACAACGCTAAATTACGATTTCAAATTTCCGAAGAAAAATTAAAGACAAACAAATCGCAGGACGCAAGTTCTATATCATAATAAGATTAACGATTCGGTCTATAAATATAAAATGTTTGACAACTTGTAATCTTGATTTTCACTAAACTCTAAAAAATATATGTAAAATAAATTTTTCACTTAGCTGAAATTATTGAACTATTTATATCCAACCATTTATAACCATCAAATAATTAGCGATTAAAAAAGAGATTTTACTTTAAAAGAATTTTAGTTTTGGCTTTGATTATCGATTAATTGAAAGTCAATGTTAAACAAAAAATAAATAATTGCTGTAAATAGCCTCCTTTAAAATATTTAAATTATTTGCTAAATTATAAGAAATTTATTCTAACTTGGTTGGAGATTCAAAAAATATTCAATTAATTATGGAATATCCTTAATGTTACATCAAGATATGTAGTACATTAGTTATAATTCATATTATTCCAAATTATATTATGCATGCACACATAAAATATGTGTAACGTACTATATGTAAGTATTACACTACCTATAATATAAATATAATAGAACACAAAGCAAAACCATTAATACAAATATAAGAGGATATAACGCATATTATTACAGACCAATAATAATTATAAACTTACACAGCTAAACTCACAAAAATTCACACATATCCTTTATCGTGAAAACTAATATCGTAACTTTTTTCACTAAAATCTAAATTTGGAAGACATGTATGTTTACGTATACTTAAATACGATTCAAAAAATATAAAATATTTAAAATTTCGAACAAATATACAAATATTAACCAACAGATGGTATTAATTTCAAGTTTTATTAGCTCTGTAAAAAATAAATTTTCATTGATTATAAAAGATTATTCGCTGTTTTCTTGCAAACAGCTTTATGAATTGCGATCTTCGAGTAGGCTTCAAGAAAAACTTCATTAAATACGGCTTACCTGACCCTCTTCGCAAGCTAGCCTCGTTTATTTGACGGCCGTGCGATTCCCAGAGAGGCTCCATCTGATCTGTCGTTGTCATGCAAAATAACGCAAATCATAGCAAAACGAAAAACAAAAGGGGAAAATGGAGCATATCTCGATGCAAAAAAATATTTCACTTTGCCGTAGTCGAGAGTGCATCATTTAATTCAAATTTTGTCCAATCAGTTTAATTGGCAATTATCGCTTTAATAATAATTTATATATCACGAATCGCTACGATTCAATACAATTGTAACAGCAAAATAACATTAGTTTACGCACAAGCTAATACATTTCAACGATATCTGGATATTAAATTCAGAAATTAATAATAATTAATTAAAAATTAATATGAATACATATGTATAATTAATACAACACATACGTATAATTAATTTTAATATAATACAATTAATATCTCTGATCACTTTAATTTAATAATTCTTTATATATTTTTCTTTCATTTTACATAATTTTATTTTTTTTCAAGGCTAATTTGTGTTGTATGTGTTGTCTGTGAGCTGATAATAAATCTGGGAACATGTGATGACGCTAGTGCGAAGTTGCAAAGTTAATTAATAATGTGCTAAGTCAATTACTAATTATTATGAAGCGACGTTAAAGAGAAACGACGAGAGGTGATTCGGCGTGAATCAGATCAGGGCTTGGTCCTATAATTGTCGTTGTAATAATCGGCATCGGAAGTTGATCACAATCGGGTCAAGACAGAGACTTATGTAAACGAATCATTAATGGCGAGTCAGGGAGTGTTCAAATGACGCCGATAAGATCTGGCGATTAGTGCAATATATGCAGTCATGCAAGATATTTTTTAATGGAACGATCGTTTAATCGTAACGTGTTATTTTAATAAATTAGAAAGAAAAGAAACGCCTACTTATCTTAATAATCATAATAAATCTATTTCGTTTCTATGTTTCAGCTGTTCCTACATTTCACAAATAATTCGTATTTTGAATATTTATAATTTCCATAAATTTGTATTTTAAATATTTATAATTTTCATAAATTCACAAATTCCATCTTTAACTTCCGCGACGTTGTAGTTTCTGATTTCACGGATTCCTTGTATAAGAGCCTTGCGACAACAACATCACAAAGCTCATCATTCATCTCGCCGATGTCCCTGCGGCGTGAAAAAAACTCCGCAAAAGGAGTCGCTGGTATGTCCGGGTATCGTGGCGATTCGTGATTTAATTAATTACTTATGGAAAAGCGCGTGGGCGCGTGCCTTGTCGTAGTAGGTCGGTCGCGTGGGTCGGAGCCTCTGTTCGACGAGATGAAATCGCGATTACGCGGCCGCAACCGCCGCCACCGCGGCCGAGACAGGCATTATGTATCCCGACGATTTTATCGCCATACAATCTGCATTTAATGCGCCTTTTTACGCGCACATTGCGTCGCTCTCAATGACGCGCGAATGGCCGTCCGCGATCGGCTGGTCGACGGTGCCCTGATCTGAAATGTCTGAATTAATAAAGGTAAACAGCCAAACGGGAACGTCTTCGGTCTTTATTTTCATCTCAATCTCATTAAAATGTTATTAAAATTTTTTAATAAAATTAACATTAAAATAATTTAAACAATATTATATCTTGTGGGACAGTAGGTATATATGAGAAACAACCTATAGACATCAATGCTTTAAATGATCTAGCTGGGTCCTAAGTGCTTATATGATTCTGTGTGAATTTATACATACGTATGTCCGAACGCGAGTGTGGCATAGCAGACCAGAGTTGGGCAAAACTGTAATTCAATTAACAATTACAAATTGCAATGTAATTCTTAATACAATTAGTAATTATATTTCGTAATTATTAATTGCTGAATTAATGAATTCATTTAATTGTTTTCAGCAAATTTAATAATTACGAAATATAATTACTAATTGTATTAAGAATTACATTGCAATTTGTAATTGTTAATTGAATTACAGTTTTGCTCAACACTGTGGCAGATAGTGCACTGACCTATCATCTATCAGGAACCAAAATATTTACGCTCATGTCTCCTCTCAAAAAAGACTGGCAATCTCCCAAAAGTATCTTTACTAACAGAAACATTTCTTGAAAAATCCGCCGTTCGAAATCGTTAAAATTGTAGGTCTCATATACTTATGGCAATTGAATAATCAGCGTGCATCACAAACATATGAGAGAGGTGAGTTACATAAAAATTATATCTGACGTTAATGTGAATCAAATTGTATGCCTACCTGTATCCCTACATCACACAATTTCAATAAAATATATTACATATTCTTTGTTATAAAAATCAGAGATTAAATTAATTATGTAATTTTATTGTTAAAATTATGTATTGTTTGGGAAGACATACAATTTGATTCACATTAATGTCAGATGTAATTTTTATGTAACTCCATCCTATGCTTTATTGACGCTGTCAAACACATAATTTGAAAATGTTATCAGAGAGTACATGATTTTGTATCCAGTACATCCTCGCAACTACATTTCGTACAGCTGCGTATGTTTATCGTAAGGAATCAACTTTAATCATTTTTATTTTTATTTTATATTATCATTGATGTTATGATCCCACTGAGGATGACTAAATTAAAGATCGAAACGTATGATTGATTTTGTATTTGATGAATATATATTGTTTCTGCAAAAATCATTCAGTGTTTGGCTCTAAATAGCTTACTTTTTAGAATATTTGAATCGAAACTTGTAAGTTGAAATGTTTATTGTCATTTAATACATATCTAATAAAATCTAATAAAATATATTCAATGTAGATGCTTATAAGCATTTATATTGATATGATTTGCTGCATTCTCTTTAGAACCTAATATTATTATATATTTTTTGTATTCATATTATTTTTTTAAATTACAATGAATAAATTACAATGTTAAAAAAAAAAGATAATAAAAATGAAAGAATGTGAACTTTAATTAAATTTCAAGGAGAAATTGCATCCTAAATTTCGAAAGAATTTCTGTTATTAAAGTTCATCCCGAAATATTAAGATACGCTGTACTGAAAAGAATCTAGCATTAATTGGAATTTTGATTGAATATATTATAATTCTAAATGAAGATCAGAAATCTAATTAATGTGAGCAGAATCTTCTGGTTCGTTCATTTTTAACCTACAGAAATTTTTTCAGTGTGCGCATAATAATCTATACGAAACCTTGCAGTATACGATTATTAGAGCCATACGCGACGTGCGCACGATGATATCTGATGACAGAATACACTGTACTTTTTGATTCGAGCGTGTTGACTATGATTAATTAATATACACCGACGTGATCTGACGCGTAATCGTGGCGCCATGATTCGTCCGCGAATTATACATCTCACATGATTAATCGCTTTTACATTAATTCTGATATGACATATATCTTGCATTATTCTTTTATATCATAAAACATCCCTAATTAATTATGTAAAATCTATTTAATAAATAGAATTGTTTTAAAAGTAATAGACTTTCAAAAAAATCTCCCGCAAAATCATTCATTCGCAATTAGATTTCTACATCAAGCTGACGTCACTTTTAATATTTGCTTGAAATTCCGTAAAAATTCTTGCAATATTCTTTTATAACATCAAAAAAAAAAAGCATAAACATCGTAGTCGCATTATATATATCTAAAAATCTTTTAATTTTACAAAATTATCTTTCAAAATTCCTCCATTCAATTTTCGGATAGTATAAAAATAAAATGTGTTTGATCTTTTAATTGACCTTTTTAACGAACCCGTCGGATATATTACTGAATTACCGTAACTCATCGATTATCTCACGTTTATGTTTTGCAGGGTTAACAGGGTGTCAAGTAGCCCGATCATTCAATACAACACGGCTATAAGAATGGCTGTATAGAGGCTGCCACTGAATATACGGGCACTTTGATCTCTCATGCGTAACAATACGTAAACAAGGTTAATAGCTAGAGAGAGGTATAGCTGTTACATATAATTCATCCCGCATTATAACGAGATCATGACGTGGCAAACGTGATTAAGCAGTAAATGTTATCTCGATGACAACATTTAGTGATATTTTTATCCGACTGTGCAAAACATTGTGCAAGTAAACACAATCTAATTGAACAAAAAATATGTATATACATAATTATATAATCTACACATTCACGGATAGAACAGGTGAAACGAGCGCGTTGTACATTACTTACATGCTATCATTCTCATAGATACCATACACGTGCCCACGTTTTTCATATTTACCGAAGGTAAATAATACTAATAGGACTTTCGTCAGATCGCGGAATTCGAATGGATGGCCTTAAAACCGGCTTCAATAGCGTACAAACAGGCAAACAGCCCGAAACGAACGTGTCCCCGTACACATACTCATAAATCGTTTATCTCTCCATATTTAGTTGATGGTGTCACAGTTACCACAGAACACCATACCGACGATGATTGCGTCAGTGCGAGGCGCCGCTACCACAGAAATCCTTTACTTTTCCGTTGCCTTCGCGATTATAATTGAGTCCTTGTCCGACAAGAAAAATCATCAGCTAATCGGACGCGAGCGAATCGCTACCACAAATCGCATAATTGATAAAATATTCAATAATTTATGATGCTCAATAACGCTTTGAACTGTAATCGATTACAATAAGAGAGATATCCTTTTATTTTGTTCTTTTTTGTTAATATTGCATAGAAGATTTTAGCTATAATTATGTCTAAAATTTATATATGATTTCTACAAATTATTCTAAAAATATATTCACAGTTGACAATCCATTGAAATTACTCCAAACAAATTTTTTTCTATAAAAGACTCGATTAGGTCATTCATGTCCTACGCATTTCTTTTCTTTGAAATACTAGGAACACCTGATTGAATGATGGTCTCTATTCTTTCCTTTTTTTTTAATACGCAGTTTTACAAATACTTTCTAAAGATGTTAAAGCATATGCAAGAATCATATTAATACTTTTTGTAATTTTATAAAAGTGATGAAAATTAATTCGCGGGATATGAACAATCCATTATGTGCAATAAAGAACAGAAAATCGTGTGCAGTCAATTTTTATATCTAAGATCACCTTAAGTACAGTCTTAAAATGTTATAAACCGATCACAGAATCATCTTGACTCTTTAAAATATTACTTAAGACAGTTTTGAAATAAGAACCGACTATGAGAAACCGGTCTGTAAGAGTTAATTTATATTCTTCATTAATTTACTAATTTTAGATTAAAAATATGTATGTAATTTTAATTTTTTGACATTTAAGACGTTCCTCTTTATTTTAGATTAAAAATATATATGTAATTTTAATTTGTTGACATTTAAGACGTTCCTCTTTATTTAAAATTTTAGTAATTACTGACAATTCGGCTGCATATTCTTTCCACGAGATCTCGCGATAACGTGAAACGAAAAGCGGAGGCCTTGAGTCCTCTGATCGAATTGCGAAACTGGAGACGATCAACCGATCTCTCCGGTACGAGAATTAAAATGGGAGGGAAAAGAGGACAAGAATAAAAAATCGGAGAAAAGAGAAGGATTCGCGGGGAGGAAAGATGAAACGCCCGGGATGAAATCGCGGGCGCGAGATCAACACCGACTTGCATAATCGCAATGCGTCAGCCGACGACGTGCGGTTGTGCAGCGAAGGCAATTCAATGGCGTTGCACCAATAAGGTAAGATACGTGCCCTGGATGCGACCAGAGGCGATCGCGAAAACGCACCTCGCCCGTTATGCGTCGAGAGGCGCGCCGAGAATCTGCGCGGCAGAAAAATAAAGCGACACAAAATCTGTTTTCCGCAGTGCCTTATGTCCCCTTGCATTATGTGAGAACAAAGTTACTATACAAAACAAAAATAAAAAGAAAGAGATCTGAGGAAGGAAAGAAAGAAAGAGAACTGAAAAGTAATAACGAAGAAATTTAGAAAAATTCTCGAACTCGAGGAAGAAGGAAATAAAGAAGAAAATAAGAATTCGGATTTTAGATTAAAGAAAACAAAAATTGTAAACTGTTAAAATGTAATTAGTATGGATTTATAATATGAGGAAAAATCGGTCGATCGGTCGTGATCGAAGAAGAGATTATTACGTAAAAGTTAGTTACAAGGATGATAAAGCGATGATATATAGCGACGATAAATTTTGAAAAAACTATTTTAATTATTATTATTACTATCAAGCATTTATGTATATCATATTTAGAATATTTAATTTCATTTCACGTATGGCAGCAATATATTAACTCTGCTGGTCTATTTAAATTTAATATTATATCATTTGTGTCAATATCATAAAAAAGTTCTAAAAATTTTCATAGAAATAAAAAATTTTCATAGAAAAAGAATCTTAAATTAACAGACAAAATCATCGTAAATATCAGAAAAAAATTTTTAATAAAATATTAGTTAGAAAATAAATTATATTTTGGATCAAATAGACCAACCGAGTTAAATACATACACACACACACATATATAATTAATTAATTATTATTTTATTAATTAATATTTAAAAACGATAAATGCTTGTAACGTTAAGATATTATTTCCAAGAGATTTGTTTTAATTTCCAAATTATCTGCCAAATCTTCTCACTATCTTTTGCAAATGTTCTTTGCAAAAGTCACTTTCATTTTTTTTTTAAATCGATTTATCCTTTAAAAGTATATCCTACAAAAATGGATAAAAAATATGGACCACTTTGAATTAATCGCGACAAATCAAGTTGATCAGCTTTCATGTAGAACAGCAACATTTATAAATCGCAATAATCGAACTGAGTTATAATTAATGTGTGGGATTAAATAAAATATAATACAATAAAATACAATAAAAAATTTTAAATAATTACTATTAGATCAAACCAAGTAACTGATCACAGTTCGCTTCATAGTGTTTTCTCGACGATCAGTTAAACTCACCGCAATTAGCACAAAGTAAAGAGAAATGTTTTCGTTTCTATTCTTCTTTTAAGGAAACAGAAAAGAATGCACTACTCGCGATGGACTCTCGCGACTCACCATTAATTCTCAAGAATTTCTTGTGAAAAATATTTACCAATTTCTTTTTCTCTGTCTCTCTCTCTCACAAAGGATGCGTCGTCGCGAACGGCCAAAGAACTACTCGTGCGAACAACTTGCGGACTCGCGTTCACGCTCGTTCACGACCGACTTGTGGGCGTGCACGGTGTTCCCGGTGCCGGGACAAATTAACGAGACACTCGCGGTATATGTTCGAGTTGTAACAACGTTCGCGATAATGTAGTACTCTCGTCAAAACATACTCCATGTAAACACTTTTATAGCATAAGTAAATTAGCATTATGAAAACATTGACAATGTAAATAAAGATATGTTTATGGTTTCATATATCATTTAAATTGTCCATTAATTTCCATTGCACTGAGAAAAATGTTCTGGTTCAACAAGAAATATAAACAAGACAAATTTTAATTATATAAATAAGAATTCTGGTTATCTCAACTAGAATGTTTGATAACATTTAATTTGTACCTTTCTGGTTAAATCTACGAGAATTCCCATTAATATAATAAATGCATAATTCCAAATGTATGAGGCAAACGGTAATAAATCTTTCCTTTGTGTACTTATGATAAAATAAAAAGATATTTTTGGCAAAATTCTTATTTGTTTTATGAATTTTATGAATTTGTTTTAAATTTGAATTAAAATTGGAATTAAAAGGAACATGAAAAGGAGGATGTTGAGTTGAAGCTGTTTTTCAGTCAAAAGGAAAAGTTCCGAGATATACAAATTACATAATAAAGGGCTACTCCGTTTAAATTACTCTTTAATATGATATATATTTAATATGATATAATCTGAACATCTTGGAACTTTTTTATTTTGATCGAAGAATAGCAAAAACTTAATATTCTCCTTTTGAGATACTCTGTTATTATCTTATATAGGTAAGAAACAAAGTGTTATAAAAAACAAGTATATACATTTATCTCTATATATACATTTATTAATACATGATCTATTTTTCTACTTAACACGAGATATTATTAGATTCTTTCTTTTTTAGGTCTCTTTATCAATGTTAGATATCTATATATATCTATATATATCATATCCATTTAGTTTGTTATAAAAATGAATAATAAATACGATATATGATCATAGCAACATAAAAATATATTATACATGCAATAAAACAGAACAAGACACAATTTTGTTAAAGACTCACTGAGCGTTGGTCTCATTGGAGAAGGCGGAATCGCTGGTCTAGGAGGCATGGTGGAGCAAGGTCGTCCTATCTTTGACGGCGGTCTTAGTCCTGATGGTTTTGGCTCCGTCATGCTCTATATATTCACTATGTTACACTGCACTGCAACAAAAATATTACGCATTTTTAGTAAAAAATGGTACATTTAAAAAATTCTGAAAAATAAGAAATTAATTTGATAAAAATAGAAATATGAATGAAAAAAGAGATGGCATCAGGATGGCATATAGGATGTAAATAAATTAAAATTTTTTACTAGTACTTTATTCGGCATATTTCTACAATCAATTACATTTTAGAATAAAAAATGCTGTTATAATAATCTTCAAGTTAGAGTGAAATCGAACTTGGATAAACTTTGACGAGAAGGAAAAATTAGAGCATTGATTATGATTGACTATTTTCCTTTTAAGAGACAAAATGTTCTAATTTTTTTTGTTCATTGAGTAGAGAAGGATAGAACAACGTTTATGTCGACTGTATTTTCTAAAAGAAACAGCCTAAATTAAATGCCTGAGTTTTGCGAAGTAAGCCAATCCAAAAATTTATGATTTTTCAAACTGAGACCATGTCATCGCCAATTTCTCACGTTCCCTTGAACAAAATTGCAAAAAGTTGCGCGAGCGATCGCGAGTACTCACGAATACATGCTAGTATTCGCGAATATACGCGAGTACCAATACTATCAGATCGATGAGTGACAACAACGCGTACCTTCTTCAGCGCGCGACGAGTTCGCATCCGTGAACAGAACGCAAAATATGAAAATCGCGATCTCACCTGAACGAAATGCTGTTCGGGCTGGTCCGCAAGGTCGACAGCTAACACATTTTATGTACGACAACCGCAATATACGAGAGCAACGTGAAAATCACTCTACCACACTTTAGAAAAAAAGAATGACAACTACACCACCCGACCACCGTCACCACCCGCAGTTGCAGTCAGGCCAACTTCTTAGTGCGAAATTTATGCTTTGAAATACAATAAAATCTAATTCCACCAAAAGTTTCCGCCGTCGTTATTCGTCATCATACATTTATCATAATATTTATTATATACCTTATTATTATCATATTGTTAATTTATCATATTACTTAATTTTTTGTTATTTAAATTGCGATATTTTGGCATTTTCTCCTTTTCAGCATTCTAGGTAATTTAATGTTCTAGTAACATCCTTGTTACGAATTTGAATGAATTTATCATCTCCAAATTCTCATTGGGCTGCGTTCAGAAATTACGCTCTAGGATACATTTTTGCTATAATATACGTGACGTAATCTATAGCTTAGAATTATCTGGATGTAATTTCTGAACGCACCCTAAGTTCTTTCAATGGTCATTTTCAGGTTAAGTTAGGTTCGAGCAGAATTGGCGCCAACGCCGCCAACTGCCAATTTATGTTTACGTTGCATCATAAATCGGATTGACTGTTGATGTCTGATATAATTTCATTGCAAAGTTGACTGAATCCTGAATCCAAATTAGTCGTCGTTTACAGTATTAAGAATCTGTGAACGCCTGCAATTCAGTGAGACGATGGTTAGACGAAAAGTTACTCCAAGGTTATTCTTATTTCTGCTTGATGTCTATACTTGCTTTTCACGTTTATCACAATTATTTATTACAGTTATTTTACGTATTGATGTAATAATCATTAGTGTAATAAACTATGTCTCACTAATGCTGTCATTTGTATACATATTTCTGTGTGCATTTATGTAATAATAATCTAGTAATCTCTTATTATTTATTAATTAGTATTTTTATTGTATCATTTTTTTATATCTGAGATCATATTTTTTAATGAAATATCTATATATATTTATATAACGTATAAATAATATATTTCAGTTCAACAAACAAGTCTTCGAAGAAAAGAGCAAATAAAGACAATGTAAGTAGATGCTTTTCATTTAGGACATAATTTAGGATTTTGACACAAGTATCGTTCTGTCCGGTTCTGTCTTTGCAAAGAAAGATAGAACATTTGTGTGAATTTATGTTACTAAATGAAAGACACTCAATGATACATTTAGATTAAATCTTCCATAAGTGTTGAATGCGTAAATTTTCTAGTGAAATAAATTATGTTATATATATTTATATATACATGCTACAATAAGTACATTAAATTAACTATTGTTCTATATTGTTGATTTTGAATACTTGTTCTTAGACAACTGTAATAGTGAGTAAACATAAACGGAAGAGCCATGTGCTGCAGGAAATTAGACATCTAAGAAGAACCACACACTTTCTCATACCTAAACTATCTTTTGCACGTTTAGTCAGAGAAATTATCATCGACATATTTCCCAGAGAGAATATCACCAAGTAAATATAACACCAATATAATTTATAAACCACAAATTTTTCATCAATTATATATATGATACTATTCGATTATATATTCATTTTTATGATTGTATAATATAATTTAATTTATTAAGAAGAGAGCAATTTCATTTTACATGTGCTGTAGAAAAGAATGTTTTATGTATAAAAAAATCATGAAAAAAATAAAAATCAGTGTTTTATTATATACGGTAAAATTTTCATGAAATTATATTATGCTCTCTTTCTTTTTTTTTTATTATTTTAATATAACATGCTATATTATATTTTAATATATAACATACTATATATTTATATATATTTAAAGTTATTAGACTTTTATACATAATGAAAAAAATTATGGAAACAAATATGAGTCTCGATGAGAGATTCTTATACTCGATTATTACAGTATTCAACAAAATTAAGTAATTAACTTGTAGGATACAAGCCACTGCTCTTGAAGCCTTGCAAGAAGCGACTGAGATGTATCTCGTGCAATTCTTTGAAGATGCAGTATTACTGGCATTACATGCTAAACGGGTCACTCTTATGCGAAACGATATGATTTTAATGCGCAGGCTAAGAGGCCGCAATGATATCATCAATAGATAAGAATTGTATTTTATATAATTTTAGATAGACCAATGTTTCAAATACCTTAAGATGCATTAAGATTAAACGAATTCTTTCCCTTCGAATAAGTTTTTTTTCTGAATAAGAGGCAATATTTTTTGCTTTTTTTATATAATACAAATTTGTATTAACGAAAATAAATAGAATAAGGCGGGGCCTATTACGTCAATTTCAAGTAATATGATTTACATAGCAAACAATATCTCTTTAGAGTGACGTGCTTACAATTATATTACATAATTATAGTCCTTAAGAGCACAACTTTTAAATATTCAATATGCTGTTCAGAAACATAAACATTATCGCAAGAAATGGAGAAAGCCTCGCTCTATCATATAAGATTGTACAAAATTATGATGATATCTTTACGGTTCGAAATCTCGATTTATATATAATTATGCTTAATTTTTTATATTGGGCATTTTTAACATTAGACATATAAAAAAGTTTTATTTTTTACTTGACTCAGGGACACACGACGAGATAATAATTTTATCATATTTTTTAAAACAATCAAAATCTGAACGATATTGAAACAAAGTTGTAAGACTCGTAAATTACTGATGTTTATTAGATAAATATTTATTAATTTGTACATTTCGTTACGTGTGTTGGTATGATAAATATTGCGAAGTAATTAAATCAAAGACGTCTTTATTATAAATTTTATAAATAAAATGTTTGATATTTTTTAATAAAAAAATAGACAAAGAAAACAAAATTTTTGTTAATGCTAATTTTTTCCATCTTTTTTTCTTTGCACTGAAAAGGGGCTGAAGAGAGATAAACGATTTTGTCTCGCTAAATAAAATTTATTTCTAAGAAACATTCAAACATTTCAATAAAATCCGTAACTTTATGAAACTTTGGTAAAATATACAGTTTTGCAATAATCAGGCGGATTTCTTAAACTACGAATATCGAAGCGTTGCCGTTTCGACTTTCGGCGAGAGTGTATAGGCAATTGGTATGATAAAAATAGTGTTAAATAATAAAATATTGCGCGATCTGGGAAACAGTCACGCTATGTATCGAGTGTTCGATTTTTATCTTTCCACACACGCACACAAACACACACAGACACACACATGACGATATTCCTTATTAAAAGTTAATAGGGACATAATTATTTTTCCCGATAAAAACACACGAATAGTTCAGGATTTTATAGTAGAAAAAATAGAAATCTTGTAAAATATTCTTTGATTAATTTTGGAAGGATTTCATCTCGATGGAAATTTGACTTGAGATATAGTTATCAAGATATAGTTATTAAGATTTTTTATTTAAGAGATATACTCTGAGATTCTACCTATAAAAAAGTACGTTGCGTTTGAATATTAAAGGAAAAGTTAGTTTTTTCTAGCTTTAATATAGTCTTGACATTCAAAGATAAATATCGTCGAACCGTGCGTACCGAACACTCCATACAATCGTGTATAACTGTGTATAATGTGTTTTCGGTGTTAGCTGCAATAAGAACAACCATAATTCGTGACCACGCAAGTCACATGCGTCTCCTTAAACGCGGTCCAAGAGAAAAGAACTGCCTAGAAAAATAGTATTACAAATATCGACTTAGCCGCCTTAATTTTTCGTTCGTTTCTACATATACAATATACATATATGATTCATACAATTTAACGAGAGAAAATACAATACAAAAAGGCACCTGGAAAAGCAGGCTAATTCGCATAAACATACGTTGCCAAGTCAAGATCTTGAGGCTTCTATGAAGACACTTGTGTTGCATCTTTAGGCACATTTCGCTATATACTTTCATGCTGCCTGTCATTGTACACAAAACGGATCACAAAGTTCGAATTACGTTTTCGTATCGCAAAATTAAATACACGAAATTCAGGAATCATCGACTGCTGAATATTTTCGTAAGCAATAGTTTCAAAGACTCTTTCAAATAATGTATAAAAGACTTTTAAATAGTTTGCTTAGCCAAATTTTTTCTAAATATTTTTTAAATGCGTCCTTTTGGTCTTTAAGACTATGATCATTCGATACTCATAAAAAAATTTAATACATCTTGATCACTGAAACTTAAATGTTTTCTAATCTCACATCGAGACGTTTATAATTTTTTTCCTGATTCTTTTGAAAACTTTCAAATATTTTTAAGATATAAAATTTGTCAAGTGATCAGAATATCGTAATTATTCAGTTATCTGTCACAGCATCTTTTAGATTTGGACTTATTGGGGTTCGCGCGCGCGCACGCGCGCCTTATTTCAACCAATTTGCGGAATTAAATAACAAGAAGTCTTATTGTTTACTTTTTTATGAACGACCGCACCTTGTTCACACACTTGTCCATGAAGTTTCGTTTGCGTTTAGGTTCCGCGCCCGCCGGTAGCGATAACAGTGAACCCGGTTCCTTTGCGTGATGAGCTCTGTGCCCACTGTATTCGCTTGACGAAATGCTTCCGTCAGAATCTAATCCCGCACCACAGCTTCTTGATGCCTTAAGCAGCATCGTCAATTTGTCGTCGTTGTCATAGTCATCATTTTCGTTGTCACTCTGTGTCTTCAATCTTTCCTGCGCTATCTTCTTGATCCTCTGTTCTTCAATTGGATGCTCCTGTTCCACGCATTGTCTGTTGGAACATGTCAAGGACTGTCCTTCCGAATTGGAACGTCGGCTCGGCTTTGGAGGACGTATCGGTAGAGCTTCCTTGTCATTCTTGTTCAAAGACATTCGCTTGTCCTCCGTCTCGGATTTGAACTCGTTGGGCACTTTCGGTTTTATCCTGCAAATCGACCTGAGTTCATCCTTGGATTCAACAGTCTCGATATTAGGCTCTTTCTGGCTTTCTTCTGAAGCAGGTACAATTTTATTTTCTTCCGAACTCATCGATGGACATTCTCGATTCTTCTCACACTGCCCTTTGTTCTGCTCTTCACCGTTTTTTACATCTTCATCCAGCAAACCATCCAGACTGCGTGATCTTGGCCTAGGAAGTGGTGGTCGTTGGACGATCGTGGAAGAGACTGACTTCTGTTCCTGATCCTGTTGATCCAGCAGCTCCAGCGAACGAGATCGCGTTGATGGTAAGGGTGGCTGCCGCGGTGGCCTGCGAGGTACTGCCTGGTTGTTGCTGGCACCCACCGGATGCGTGTACATGAACTTGAAACGCGGCGACGTGGGTGGTAGGCCCATCAACCAACGGGATGGACTCGACGACTTTCTAAGTCTACAACACGAAAATAAAACTTATTGCAAAATCATGACTCAGCGAGAAATGAAATTTCTCGTTTGCTTTCTTCAGTGTTAGATAAAACAAGGATATTCATAGGCTTATTTCTTTTAGATATCTTTCATATATCTTCAATCAAAATCAATCAATTAAAGTAATTCAATCAATTAAAAGTAATTTTTAGGAAGTTTAGAAAAAAATAAATATTAATTTAGAATTTTCATTGAAATTCGTTATAGAATCTATTATACTATGTATATCATATCACATTCGAGAAAATAAACTAATATTTTCATTTTATATTCCTACAATTCTAATATTGTTGAATTTATCTCAAATTTTTTTATATCGAACACTGAAGAATTATCGGATTATATCATGCAAAATTATATCGTGCAGTTTCACCATTTAGATCAATAAATATAAAATCCATAAATATAAAATAAATAATATAAATACTATGTATGTAAACATTGACGTCTACGTGTGAAAAATTAAAATTATTGCATTTGCTAGTATATATATTTTTTAAATTTTCGTAAAAAATCAATTATAGAATTATCAAAATTTGTTATTAAGATTAAAAATTAAAAAATCTCTATATAATTATTTTGATTAACTTTTAGCAATGTATTATCTATTAGTTAAGAGATATTTAATTAAAGAATAATTTTTTCTATTCTACATATAGACTGTGTAATAAATATCTGACACTCAAGTAAACAAAAATTTATTTAAACCTTCACCTTAAATTATACGTCTACATCACACACATATATCTACGTAACATGGAACTGAAAAAGTGCAATGATATCAAAGGTACTAGGGATTGATTTAGCACAAGGGTTTAGCAAAAGCGATAGGATAGTGATATATTTTGTCACCGTTTAAACATTGATAAAAAATTTGTATCGCTGACTGACCTAGTCGTGATTGTCATAGAGCGATTCACAATCTTGGCTGTGTGAAAACAAAAATTAGCATTGCGTTAGTAGAGCTCGCTTCAAAATCGCATCGTAAATCGATTCGTTAGCGGCCAATGTAACAAATTTGCTAATTTTTAGTAATTCGGATCATTAAAAATATTTATTATTATCTGAAATCATCATTTAGCTCTCTTTTGGATATTTTTAAGAAATCTGAATTATTAAAAGATTTTCGGTTTATAACGATAAATCTAGTTTGTTATTTATTATTATAAATTTTCCTTGTTCAATTATTTTTAATAAAATATTCCAAATTATTGATAAACTCTTTTTATTCATAATAATTGATTTAACATCAGACTATCAATATGTAGATCGAGACTGAGTTCTTGGTATCGGGGTGTTAATGGATTCTACAAATTTTAGATTTTTTTTCCTGGACATTGACGAATCGATTCGCTCAACTCAACGTTTGGGTTATATGCTAAATTATCAGGGATAACTACCTGCTCGATATGGCTGTGGGCGGGCCGTCTAGTCAGTCTCGCCCGCCCGTGGAATCCTTGTCGCTGCCCCTGCTTTCGTTGCTGTGCATTCGCTGATAGTTCGGCGGCTGTCGCATATTCGCGTTAGCTGGTGTGCTCGGTTGGGTCACGTCCTTGGGAGCCATGCTGCGCGGAATTCCGCTGGACAGATCAGATCTCATAGGTATCTCACCTCGCATAAACCTGCAATGATGAAAAGCAAACATAAAAAAAAATTATCTTAATACTTATCATATATACATTTATATATATATATATATTTGTATTATATTTTTATTTTGTCAAAGTAAATAAAATTAATTAATTAAATAATTAATGAAATTAAATAGTTAATTAAATAATTAATGAAATTATTATAATTATTTTGTGATACAATAGACATAATTATCTTATTTGAAATAAAATTATCTTAGAAAACGACTGGTAAATATTTCAGCTATAACTTATTCTAGAGAATAGAAATTATCTTCTTCATTCTGATCTAAAAGTCATTTCCTTTAAAAAAAAAAAAAAGAAATGTAAAAAAGAAACTAATTACTTTACCTTTCTAATTTGTCTACGCAGGCGTCTTGATAGTCGTGAATCCAACGAACACCGTTAAAATGGCAAACTGCGCGCATGTCTTCAGGAAGTTCTTCAGGTTCCGGCCATTGAAAATTGTCAATGATCGGGATTATGTTGCATTGTGATTGCAGCGCGGCAACAATTTCCTATAAGATAATAAAAAATTAATTGATAGTATACTTCGCAAAAGTTAAGCTTTGCAAAATAAATACTCTCAATTTTAGAGTGTTTTCATTTGCTAAGAAAAAAAAAGATAATTTGAAAGATATTTTTTAAAGCTTTCTCTTCTTTAATTTTAAATTTTCTAAAAAATGAATTGAGTTAATCGAGAATTTATTCATTTCTTTTTTGCGACTTCGAAACTGATAAAACGGAAAAAGCAAGCATACATTTTTAAATAATTTAATAGTGTATAATTAACCCTTAGTACACACAATTCTGGCAGTCCGTATCTACCCACATCCGAATATTTGTAAGCCAGCGTTTTCTTTTGCTTGTATTTCGGATTGTGATGCACCGATTTTAACAAATTTTTAAATCTATCGTTTAAAGACTGAAAGACTGAAAAAAAAAGAATTTTTGAGTTAGAAAGTCTAAAATGTCGTAGCACAAAAGATATTTTGCAATAAGTGAAA